ATCTCAAAAATGAACTACACTTGAACCTTGAACCTTAACACCAGTACTCTGGTTTTTGTCCCCATAAGAATAATAACTGAAACACACACACACACACACACACACACACACACACACACACACACACACACAGTAAACACACAGTAAACACACATACAACATACCACTTTTATGACAGGAATGCATATGAAGTAAGGGCTTCTCGCCTTGGAAGTTTCCCACTGGCCAACACTATGGCCATCCAGAGCCATTTGAACCACCGGCACACCTTTTGATTAGAGGGTGTTAACCTTTTCAAATATATCTAAAATTCATGATTTACAGACATCCCAAAAGGTTGACTCTTAATGAACATTAGCCCTGCAAGGTATGAGGATTAAAACACTAGTTATGAGCCATGTTCAACCCATAATTTTAGGTTTTTTATAAATTCAGGAATAAAAGAAAGAAATTTAAAATGAGCATAAAGAACAGCCATATGATTTCGTTTACAACACATGTAAGTGGGCATTATCTTGTCAAAAATATATCCACCAATCCACTGGTTTGTTTAGTTATAAGACCACAACCTTTAGAACAATTAAAAACAATTTAGTATTACATTTGTGTTAATATTGATAAAATAGTTGTTAAACTTTAGTTTTGAATGTCGTAACTACAGAACTATATGGTATGTAACCTTGCTTTAGCTCAGGAACATACAAAAGGAACACGTTCTGATTATGAGGTCTAAATGTAGCTGCTTTGTTTGTGTGTCTGTAATTCTAGATGTGGGAAAATGACAATGATACTGACATTGTCATTGTCAAAGGAGCAGGTGGGAAAGCTTTCTGTGCTGGTGGAGACATCAGAGGTAAGAAGCAGCATTACAGGTTCAGTCAGTGGGAATATTTGATGTGCATCATGACTAATAATATCATTATCATTTTATTATCTGGATTTGTTTCTGTCAGCGGTCACAGAAGCGGGGAAGGTCGGTGACTCTCTTGCACAGGACTTTTTCCGTGAGGAATACATTCTCAACGATGCTATAGGTGTGCTTAATGAATTCATTGACCATTGCACCTGTCTTGAAATTCTTATTTGTTCTCCACTGATATTCATTCACCTCCAGACTATCAGTTTTCATTTTTGTTTTTTAACATTTTATCTCATCTCTCCAGGATCATGCAGAAAGCCATACATCGCCCTTATTGATGGAATAACAATGGGAGGGGTAAGTGCATTTGTTTTTTAAATATATTTATATTGCATGGAAGGTTAACCTCGGACAGTTTCTTATTAGAATTTAAAAATGTCATATCATAGATTTGTATTTTTTGGTTTCCTAGGCTTGTCTGCATTTCTCTTTGGATGAGGTGTGATATAACCTTTTGCCAATAGGTGTCAGTACAGAGCTGTTTTCCACTGTCACCTGCTGCATGTTGCAAGGTTGCCTCTGATTGGACAGAAGGAGAAGTGACAAAGCACTGTTGCTGCCACTGCTTTTTCCCTCCAGGTGTCAGATATGGTTGGACTATGAAGTAGTACCTCACCCATAGTGAGTGGGATGATTCGTAATTCAGACAGAGCTGCTCAATGGCTCATTTATCAGACGTGACTCTGTCATTTATTTCATTGTTGAACTCACCAGCTCCGACAAGAAGTCTGTCGTTTGGATGAGTCTGTTGGGTTTTTTTCCCCTCCATCTCCTCTGTTGTGACCTTGACTTTGATTTTACCCATGATGTGTCATCAAGGCCGCACACAGCCACCAGTGTGTACCGGGTCATTACTCATTGTATGTGATATTTATTTTGTGGTTGTGCATTCTTGTGTGTGTGTGTGTGTGTGTGTGTGTGTCAGCGTCCCTGTGGCAAAGAGATGTTTTAGGACCTAACAAGACATTTTGCACAACAGTTGCTCTCATTCTTTGAATACTGACCATTACAGTTCATCATAAACTTATAAGTTAACAATCTGTCTGCTCTTGAAATCTCTTCAGGAGTCGTTTTAGGGAGGATGTTCAGATCAATGTTGATCAGCATTTTCTTAATTATCGTTAAAGTTGACGCAGATTATTAAAAAAAATACTAAATAACCCGGTGATGTAACTGATGATGATGACAACTGTCAAACTTGAAATGCTAGGTTTCTGTATTTTTGTTTTGATTTGTTGATCTTGAGTTCTAGTCATTTTCTTCGACTCTTTATACTTTCCACTTGTTTGGTGTTATTTTGGACGTGCTGTCAGGTCTTTGCACTGTTTGTCTGACTGTTTTCTTTTAAGTAGAGAGAAATAGGACTAGTATGTCACAAGATGGGCTGAAGACGACAGCTTATAAAATGACAGTAGTTGTGTATGGTTTTGTCTTTTTTTGACTTCAGGACAGAGTGTGTGTGTTTCTAGAAACCAGGAATTATTCCCTCTTTTATTTTTGTCCTTCATCAGTTCTTGGGGGAAATATCTGACTAATTAGCTGCACTATGTTGCTCAGCTACTGGCTAACTTTGCTGTTTGCTGCTGGACACGTTATGTACGGTGAGTTTGTCACTGTTTTTTAACTGCCTGCTTGTGGAAATGGAAACAAAAACAATGAAGGAAAAAGGACTGTAAGACTCTGTAGAGCTGAGTCCAGTCATAACGCTCTGTGGGTTTGTCACTGTGAGCGTCCCCTTTCACATCAGGTCAAATCAGATTTATTTTGAAAAATCCCAGTTAAGTCGAAGGGCTCTGTGTTCATGGGAAAGGAAAAAGAATACAAGTATGGATACAAATGAAAGTAGGATTCAAATCTACACAAGAAAAAAAATAATGATAGATATTAACAGACTCAGGCTGAATTAAATGCAAGATTAAATGTATGCTTCCACCAACTAAAGTGAAGACATTCCCTCAAGCAGTCTTGATTTATCACATTGAAGAGGCCAAACCTTTTTTTTTTGACCACTGACTTCTAATCGATTTATCGGTGAGTCAAGGTGAATGGTGCCAGATGTAATGAAATTCCCTACAGCCCTGGTATGTCACATTCACAGGAACATGAGGGCACTGTGACCTTGACCTTTGACCCCCCAGGTAGCAAAATCTAATCAGTTCATCTTTGAGTCCAAGTGAAAGTTTGTTCCAATTCTAAAGAAACTCACTCAGGCTGATATTAAGAGATCATGTTCAGGAAAACATAAATGTACTTTGTGATTCCACCGTGATTTAATCCTTGAGTCTAAGTGAATGTTTGTGCCAAATGTAAAATGATTCCTTGATGGCGTTCCACAAATATCACCTTCCCAAAGCAAAACATGTGCGGTTTGAGGTCACTGTGATCTTGACCTTTAACCTTTGACCACAAAAATCTATTAAGGGCCCTTCTTGTGTCCAAGTGAATACTTGTTCCAAATGTGAGGAAATTCCCTCTCGGCTTTCTTGAGACATCGCGTTCACGTGAATGGGACATACAGGCCGATGGAAATAAGTGAAAATAAATGCTGCATTTTTTTGTTATTTTTTTCAGTGTAGTAGATATTTAATCCTGGGATGCATCTTAGAAACTGAACAGAAAAGTCATCCTCTTTGCTTTTTTCCCCGAGTCATGATGACAATGACGTCCCTGCTTAACCATTTTCCTTCTAGGTGAGACAGAAGCTAATAATAAAAATGTCAGATCAATTTTCAGGGTGAAACTGGAAAAAAAAAAAAAAAACAGGGACAGCAGAGTACTTGTTTCTAATGTGTATGTAAGTTGCTTCTTTTATTTTAACCGGTGGTGTTTGTCCAGTTATTTCCACAGTTTATCACATTTCTTCTTTTTCATTTCTTTTTTATTTGGATTCATAGCTCTGGGAAAAACACAGCGATGTGACGTCAACCTCCAATATTTGTCATCATGTCGACTCAGTGACACTAATGTTGACATAGACCATCCTCAGGCTGATTGCTGCTGAATGTGTGTCATAGTGGAAAACAGGCGAGCTCTATATAAGGAAAAGTCAGAGAGGCACCAGAGTCTCTGTTGCCAGATCTGCAGTTAACTCAGGGCAGAACTCCCACGTAGAACGAGAACTCGTCTTGATGATATCAAACCAACAGGGAATAAAGACATGTCGTTAGCAGGTCAAAGACACACACACACACACACACACACACACCTCTTACATCACAGAAATCTCATCTCACGCACATTATTTTATTGCTGCCCAAGTTTAAAATCCCTAGAATTAAGGTCTGTGATTCGTTAATCCTTGTCTGCCGTGCCTTGAGATTGAGCAGACACTGTTCATGTCAGCATGTTTCAGATTGCTCTTTAGATTTCAAACATTTACTGCTTGTAGGACAGTTAAGAACAGAGGCAGCTGATGGACATTTGTCTGGCGACGGTAATCTCTCCCTCCTGTTGAACAGAAGTATTTTATGTTCATGTCCACGTCACCTGATCAGAGAGAGTCAAAAAGACCTAGACCATTTTTGGATCCCTGCAAGAGGTTTCTCATTTTCAGAGCTAGCCCAGTGCTTCTTGTGATGTAGAAAGTAACGCAACATACATGTTGGGCATTTTCAGAAGAGATGTCACTTTCTCCCTGAGCGCTCGTAGCTGTTATCCGTCACTTGTGTGTCTTCACACCCACTGAAAGGCTCATATCCTCATACAAGTGTCAGAGGTAAATTTCTGACTCTGTAAAACCTCAGCTTTACCTGGAGAGCAGACGTGGTGCACTGGAGAGATGCACTCAGCTCTATTGTACATCCTTTTAATGGATTCCACCCCACCTGTTTTATCAATATTTGTACAAGCCAAGTATCCTTCTATTCATCATTGCACTGTACGAACCACTCCTTCATCAGTGTGAACTCCGGGGTATAAATTTTGTAGTCTTTTCTGTTTGTAAGCATGAGCTATTAATATGCTCCTCTGTGCACTTTTTCACATTTCAGTTGTTTACAGCAGGATCTGCAGACATGCTCTTATAAGGTGCGTGGCGGTACCACACCAGCATGTAGCAATGTTCCACTACTTTTATGGTGAAACTCGGCTAATGTGAGATGAAATGGTCCCGCCTTTCAAAAAATCAGCTTTTACTCTTTATTTTGTTTTCAGGTTGTGTTGTTTCTATGAGGGCCAGTTAATAAAACAATACATAGATATATATATATTGATAAGTAGGTATAAGGTATAATTATCGTAATATAATCTTATAAATACCAGTATAACAACCTATACCAATATATAATATATTATGCATTGCACACACACAGTGAGCAGCAATACCACATTGTGATTTAATGAGCAGTCGTTCTTACTGTTTATTCAATATTGTGTATTCTGGAGTTCACAGTTCCACTTAACTAATGAAATCCACATTGTTTACACCACTCTATTTCATCCTCCAGTTTTTTTGGATTGAAAATAACTACATTTTTAAGTCCTGCTTCTGTTCCTACCCAACATCTTCAGAGAGAAAATGAACCCAGTCATTGTCCTGACACCAAACTGCCAACGTGTCGACAAAGGGCAGTGGTGGAGTATTTCATGTCCTAAGCTAACACAAGTCACAATCTGTGTCCTTTGTGTGACTCTTTTAAAAGCCTGTTTAGTCTCCAGTGGACAGATATTTTGAATCCTCTGTGTTGGTTTGTCACACAGCCTCAGGACAGAGCCTGCAGCGCTGCTCTCTGACTCTCCACGCGTCCATTCACTCCTGTAAAATCAAGTTGACGACAGTTGTCTGTAATCACACATTCACTGATTGTTGATGGCAGTGATTCAACCATCAGCAGATAGCTTTCTTTGTGTTTGTCTATAGTGTACGACAGTTTTATGGATCTCCTTTTTCCTGTATTTCTTCATCCATATCTTCTGTTGACTTAAAGTGAATTCAAATCATTCGGGACATTTCCTGCTCTGACAGTACACTTCAGATAAACTACTGTTATCCCACAGGCCAAGTGTCAGGGAGATGTTAAGTTCAATAGTCAATGAATTGATGTGTCATCAAAAGAAAATGAATCAACAACTATACTTGACTATACTACTACTTTAGTATTGATCAGTTATTTGTGATGATCATGCAAAGGTGGCTATCAGCTTCCAGATATGAGGATTATATCATTGTAAAGTGACTATATCTGGGATTTTGAACTTTCAATAGAAGTGATTGTTCTAGTGATTAAAGTGGCTATGGCTCAGGAGATAGAGCGGGTTGTCCACTCCGATCCAAGTCTCCCCCATTCAGCATGCCGAAGTGTCCTTGGGCAATATTCTGAACCCCATACGACCTACGATGTCTGTGCCGGTAGAGTGTGATGAATGTGTGATAAAGTACTGCCTGTAGATGCACTGTTTGAATGTGTGTGTGTGAATGGCAAAACACTGTACTGTAAAGTGCTCTGAGTGTCATCAAGACCAGAAAAGCTCTATATAAATATACAGCATTTACCATAGTTTGTTGCAGCCTCATTACTGAGCAAACTGCTGCAATTATTTAACATCATTGATTGTTGTTGTTGTCTTTTAAAGGTTCAGTGGTCAGATTTAGGAGAAAAAGAATCTATTGGCACAAAGTGGATATAAAATAACCCTAGAGATGTTTTCACTAGTGTTTCATCAAAATTGTATTAATTGTTCTTTTCTATACCCTAGAAAGGTTCCTTTGTATTTAAATACTTTATATTTACAAATGCTTTATGTTTTTATGACACTAAAGGCTTCTACAGGTTCTCTGTCATGTTTGGAGGGGGAGGGGGAGGTGAGGGGTATTCATACATTAATACAGTTTTATTATTCATTTCCTCCTCTTCAGGCTCATAAGTTGATTGAGTTGTCCTGCCTTGTTGCACAGAATGAATAATGATAAGGTTGTTAATCAGTACCTATGGGTCAGTGATAACACCAGCAGGTGCTGTGGCTTTTAGCTTTCACTGTTTGCTCCACATCTATAAGCTGTTAAAGACGCACTCATTGTGTGTTCCCATGGTGGCAGTTGGTCCCACAGTTTTTATCTCTCTTCCTCAGTGTGAAAATGTGACTCCTCAGCTCTAAAGCTGCTCTCAGACATGCACTGAAGTCCAGACATTTTCTTGTAATTTCCCAAAGGGGCGGTATAGTGTCCTGGACATTTTCTGGAACTCTTCCTGCCAGCCCCCTTTGTTTTTTTCTGTACGCCCTTGTCAATACGATATCTCAGCAACACCAAGAGTGAATTTGTTCAAATATAATAAGAGGTTCATTTAGACTCAACGGTGAACTGATTTGATTTTGCAGGTCAAAGGTGAAGTTCACTGTTTGTGAATGTAATTTATCAAGAACTCTGGAGGGAGTTTCATTAGATGTGGCACAAATTATTCACATAGACTCAAGTATGACATCCATGTATTATGAGTCTGGGTAGACATGGGTGTAAAATGGCTACTTGACTGGTTGGAATAAGTTTATGAATAGTTTTATCCACTCTCTTTTTTTAAACCTTTGGACGGAGCCAGGCTAACCTTTCCCCTTTTCCTCTCTTTATGCTAATCTAAGCAAATTGTCTGCTGGCGCTGGTCTTATGTTTACTTGTGAGAAAATAGAGTGGTATCAATCTTCTCATCTAGATAATGGCACAAAAGTAAATATAAGTCTTTACACGAATGTCAAAACCATTATTTAATAATATTTTCCTAATTTTCCGACATTTTCAGTGAGAGTGTTGAATTAGTTGATATGATATCTCAAATGGCCGAGAAGGTCACTCACTTTTCTTTGTGTTAGGAAGATTTAATATTTTATTTTAAATTTGATCTTCACCAGAGATATCAATGTGTGTGGCATTCTCCCATTTTAACAAACCTGTGGTGGGACCAGGGAAAGAGAAACTGATGCTTAAACTGTTTATACACTGTACTGTAGGCTGTATGCACTACACTGAATATGTATAGGCCTACAAATACAAACACAAATACATACATTCACAAATAGGATGTGTATTTTTTTTTAATTTTACATAGAATTCAATTAAATAATATTGTAAAAAAAAAACGAACTATTTTCATGAAATCATCTTGGCTCATGTACTATTGAGCTACAAGTAGATTTACGATGACTTGAGACTTGAGGCTGGCACCGTGAATCAATAAACTTGAAATAAGACTTCATTAAAAGAAATCAAACCCCAGCATCAAGCACTTCATGTGAATGTGAAGCTCTCTGGTTTTACATGCGGACCTTCCACTGTCATTAATCATCACCAGTGGATGACATATTGGATTCTCCTCTAACTAACCACTAAATGACCTTACTCAGTGCAGATACAGACCCAGTTATAAGGACATTTGGGTTACCCAGCTTGATGTTTAATGGTGCAAAGCAGCGTGTGTGTGTGTGCGTGCGGCTGTGTGCGTGTGACTGGGTGGGTGTGTGAGAGAGAGAGAGATCTGGACTCATGAGTGAGTGGAGTGACTGCAGCGTTCCTTTAAATGACTCTGCTAATTGATTGTTCATTATAACCACATGCTCACTACCTGTCAGGCCATACAATGCACTTGTCTGTGTATCTACATTGTGTGATACAAGTCCAGGATGTATGCAAGGGGATTTTGTTTCCATGGTAACCAGGTAATATAATCTGACACACATACACACCGTTCTTACTGTGCTAGAAATGTCTTCTGGACAGTGCTGCTCATTAGTCCTGAGCTCTCTCACTGTTGGGACCCTCTCTCACACACACACACACACACACACAAACACGCTTTGGCAGGGTTGGCCTGGTTTACTTGTTTTTCATTTTCAGCATTTTTCCATCTCAAACTTGAGCCCAGTCTTTCTCTGAGGCAGAGACAGTTATTAATGATGTCTCTTTGCCCTGCCTGCCCTCTCTGTGTCCTCTGTCTGCGCAGCTTGTTTCCTATTCTGTTCATCCTTGCACTGACTTAGTTTCTAACACTTGTTCTCCTCCACCTGCAGGGCGTAGGTCTGTCGGTTCACGGACGTTTTCGAGTGGCCACTGAGAAGACACTGTTTGCCATGCCGGAGACTGCCATTGGTAAGATTGTCCAGCTGCACCGGCTGCTGTCTTCCTTCGTGTGAGAGGGTGAGGGGGACATGTGTTGGCCCAGCCAGCTGGATCCAGTTCATATGTATTCATAGACACAAGTCAGGTAGCTGAGTTGTATTGAGTACATGACAGGATAGGATGAAAAACTTCCATCCTGACAATCATAGATGTGAGAGATTAACTGCTTGTAAAGTTAATGTCAAAAAAGTCAACTAACAAGTGTGGTGTCAGTGAACATCAATACAATGTATCAGAATTAGCAGTGGTTATGTTATACCCTCATCATAAAGAGCATCATATTATCTGTTCACCATAGAACAGTCTCAAGCCTGCTGACAGCTGATCCAGCTGTGCAGCCATTCTTTCTCATTATTGAGGGCAGGATTTCTTAATTCCCAAAATACATGTTTCCTTAATTCTTTCTCTTCCCTTGCACTTTGAATAGCAGAGAGGATATGATGCGGTAAGAGAAACTGGAGAGTAGATAAACCCTCTGAGAAATTAAACAAACTGACAACACTTTGTCAGTTGTACGTGTACAGTAACAGTTTAACTGAACTGTTTAATGCTCACAATGACAATGATAAACACTGATGCTTAGCATGTTTTCCATCTTAGTTTAGTTTGTCAGCAAGCAAAGGTTTGCTCTCGATTAATAGGGATCACCTCCTGTGATAAAACCTGCACCATATCACATGGTAGTCCATGCAGTAGATGTCAATGACTGATGGCTCATGATGGCATGTGCGACAAAGTCAGAGTTGAGATGAACCCAGCAGATTTGTTAACCCTGGAGCCACAGCATATTCATGCTGATATTGTTTTACTAAATGTTTTATTGCATGAATTATGAAAACAAAAGAATAATTATTAGAGGTTTCAAGCATCATTTAGATTAAAAAACATGAAGAATTACACAGATCTTCAAATGTAGGAACTTTGCATAATAAGACCATTTAGAAAAAATAAGCATAATGCATAAACTTATGATGGTGTTTTGCTGTCCAATTTGGTTCCTTGAGTGTAAGCTGCCACTGGCAGGATACTAAGCTAGAGCTAGATTGCTCTTTAGCTAATTGACTCCTGTAGACAGATGGCCGACTCCTGAGGCGCTGAGGAGATTAGTAACAAATCTCTAACAACTAACAAATTGCAGCCGACATTATGACACAAACTCGTCTGTGGTCACTTAAGTCCAGATGGCTCATCACTGGTCTTTTACTGCATACGAATGTGTTTATACAAGATATTAGGAGAAGAATGGTTTGTTGTGAGGGTGAGCCTGTGACCAGGCAGCGAGTTTCCTCAGTATGACCCCAGTCAGTGTATTGACCTCATGCAGGTGATGAATAGATTGTGAGGGGCTCCTAAACATGTTTTCAATGGTCACTTTAAATCCTCACAACCGACAGATGTTATTATAATTCAGTTGATAAGGTAATACAGTGAGTGTCTAACCCGTGCACACTCACAGACTCCACAATAAGCTTTCTGCTGATGTGTAGTGCTGTGCTGTGGTATCTGAGGATGATGATGATGTCGTCAGCGGACAGGAAATGACTGTAGTAGAAAGCAAAAGGCTGACGTGCTCATTGATGTGGTCTGATAGATATGTGGGATTTTCTCAAAGGCAAGGTCACAATGAAAATTAGGAGGAAATGGGATGATAATTCAATTGCATGGGCTGGGGACTGATTACATGAGGAGATTGGTGGACAGTATGTGTGTATTAGGAGTGGGTTGCTCCATTGCTGGTGAAGTAGTCAAACAAAAGCAAATCCAGTTTCTCTCATGTTACTATAAATGCTGAGACGAGACTCTCCTCGTCTCTGTCAAACTCTCCAGTGTCTTTGGCAGGAGGCTGGGAATCTTGTCTAATCCTCCTCTGAGCTGCTGTGGTCATAACACATTGTCACTATTGTTGTTACTTGACTCCCAGGCCTCTGCACCAGCCATTATCAGCACCTTCCTTCTGCAATCACAAACCTGCGCTTCACGTTGCACCATTTGCTGTCGGGAACAAAGATCGCAGCTGCTTCAAGACCCTCTATGCTTATTTTAGCCTTGATCCTGGAGTGGAATCTTTTCAAGAGCCTCTCCTATGTGCTGAGTTTACTCTTGACTACAGTCACTCTGTGGAATTTGTCTTTTTCCACTGAAGTAGGTCAATATTATGCAGGAGGGATTTCAAGTGCTGGAACTTTCTGGAAAATGGTTTAAATGGAGTTAAACAAATTCCGGTGCAGCGGAATACACAAATACAAAGATTATTTTGACTCATCAGGCCTTTGCTTCTCAGGACTGTACTATAAAGACCTGTAGAGTTTGTGGTTGATGGTCATTGTTTATTTTTTTAGAGGGTTTTAAAGCCATTGTCCACTACATGGATGTAGCTCTCAGGAACCTAATCTGGTTATTAGACCTGTCTCCAGGTGGACATAAGGTGGCGCTATGATTAAATGATACGGTGCAACTAAACTGAAGAGGGAGTTAGAAGTTAGAAGTCTGAAAATCTACAGCTATTACTTACTAGGTTGTATTTTTATGTACTTATATTGCACCTTTAAAGAGGAGACGTCACAAAGCGCTTCACAGATCAAACGACATTAGAAGAGTTAATGTAACAGGGCTGTACTAACATGGTGGATACATCATTATGTCACAGGCCTGATTGCAGAGGAAGTTTGAAGTATGCAGCTGTGTCCCAATTACACGAAGATGCATCAACATCCTTCACATTTACATAATCAGGAAAAGAAAGGGTTTAATGGAATAGCTTTTCCCATTGTACAGTGTCGTCATTATCAGGGGTGTGAGGAATTCAAGTGCATGTTCTCCTCTATTCTGGGGTCGTTGGCTGGTGGGAAGCCAGTGAGGGTTCTCAACTTGCTGTATTAGTTTGGTGGGGTTCCAGCTCAGTCATGGGTATAGTGAATGCGTGTAACACACTAGCAGAAAAGCAAATCAGTGATAAAGAAGCAGCTGCAGACTTCATGTGCCAGCACCTGACAGCATGTTCCGTTGGCCAAGTGTAGAGTTAACCATGATGAGGGGCACGGCTCATAGGGGAGGGGACACTTCTAATCAAATAAAAGATGTTTTTACTTATCCTGGAGAATATTTTGAGACATCAAGTACAGGTCCGTCCATTCATTATCTACACTGCTTATCCTCTGAGGGTCCTGGTGGAGCTGGAGACAATTCCAGCTGACATTGGGTTAGAGACGGAGCACACTCTGGACAGGTTGCCCATTTATCACAGGGCCAACATACAGTGACAAACAACCATTCACTCTCACATCCACACCTCTGGTTAATTTAGAGACGCCTATAGAAAACCCACACAGACCAAGGGAATCTCTTTTCTCCTTAGACACAGTGCTATTCACCACACCACCATCAAGCACATGTCTTTTAAAAATGGCTGCATGTCCTCAGGATGTCCCTGTCTAACATTATCATCATTAGTTACAACTTTGCTTTACCAAAAGCATAGAGCTGGCAATAGTGTTCTCACTAACTTTGACTCATAATACCTTTTTGGAGAGGTGAAGATAGAGCCTTTATTGATCCCGATGGAAGTTTCTAGTCATCCAGTAGCTTTACAACACACATACAGGGCAAGAAAAGCATTTAAGAGTAAAAGACTGTGCAGATGATCTTAAATATTAGAGAATACTACACTTAGGTGAATAAAACGTAACCTAAAACCAGAAACAAACATAATGTGCCGGTAAATGGTGTATATAGTAGTTTTTACTGCTGTACCTTTACTGACATGTTCTCTGTATCACAATGGTCGGAAGAGACGTCATCCTTTGTTCCTCTCTGGATTTCATCACAATATCAGCGCCTCCACTGCCATTACGAGGGCCCTGGGCATAATTTATTAATGGTCTTCCACCCCTCCCCCACCACTCCAGAAAACACTTTATCATTTAACAATCACCGTTCAAACGCAAGACCAAAGACGACTGGGAGAGCGTATGATGCAAATGTGTGGCACAATTATTCAAACTTTATTACAGATCAAAGAATGTTTCTTATCGTCATCAATTTAAACTAAAAGACCAAAACCAACGATGAAACTGTCCTTATTCCTCTGTACTATTAAGCTCCATTGTTCTCCAAAAACTGATAAACACATACAAATAAGCCACACTGCTCCTTTACACACACACACACACACACAGACACACACACACACACACACACACACACAGAGTGCAGTTTATTTGGACTTAATCCCACGTACACCGTCCTGCTGCTGTAAATACTCACTGGACAAAACATGTGTATAATAAACGGCAGCTGGAAACAGTTCACAACAAGTGGCTCAGTTTCCTCCTTGTTGAGATACATTTGCAGTCCACATGTTTTAGAGAATTACTGAGCTGTTTTTGAAAAATAAAACTCCTGTGGCCTGTTTTTGAGGAAGGGTTTAGAGCCGAGCGCCACGGACATGAGTGGGGAAGAAGGAATATACAGTGAGAAAGACTAATGAATTGTTGGTCGTTTAATGTGTTTTATTTAATAATAAGAAAAATACAGAATAATACCAGACTTAATTACCCCTTTAAAAGTTGCAGTTACTCCCTCAGTGTAATTACTCTGCGATGTGTAGGATTCTTGCATAGCACATAACATCACAGTTACAAAAGCTCTAACGTTTAGAATAGTTACTTACTTCATACCATCATATTAGAGCTGCAGCAATCAAATCAAAAACTTCAACCAAATTTCCAATGTCAAATAGAAGTGGAATGTGGACCATTACAAGGCATTTTTAAATTTTTATCAAAATAGTGAAATCATAATCACAAAAGTAATCTGCAGATTAATCAATACATGGTGTAAAGAAAGCAGTTGTTATCTGCAGCCCTAAACTACACACACACACTTGCTCGTCTCCTTCACTCACATACTAGCACACTCATGCCCTCCCACACGCAGCAACATTAACCCCCTCTGTGGCAGGATTACCAGATTTAACCCAGCCCTGCTATAGCATTCTGAACAGTTGCCATAATCTGACACATTTATGATATTACATTTTCAGCCTTGAATCAGGTCAACTCATCTAATCCCCCTCTCTCTCTCTCTCTCTCTCTCTCTCTCTCTCTTCCTCTTCCTTCCTCCCTTCCCTTCCCGCCTCGCGTCACGCCATCAAAGCTGTCAGAAAACCTACTGTGACCCGTGGGATCTCATTTCCTGTCAGAACCACAGGAATCAAACGGAAACATTATTGATGATGTGTGTTCAGATTAGGGCTGTGGATTAAAATGAAATATTTTATTATTAAATAATCGGAAGCTACATGTGTGTGTCTGTTAGTGGTGTGTTAGCGATCATTTGTTCTGTTAATGGTCGAGTTTAATGATCATGATTTAATCTGCAACTAATTTGATGATTGATTAATTGTTTAAGTGAAGTGTTCCACCTTCAAATCTGCTTTTCCTTGTCTCACACTAATTAAGGAAACCTTGCCAGTTTTAAGTTGCTGTCACGTCGTTAGTTTTTGAGGTGAACAGTAAAAAATGGGTGTATTACTTTTCAACATGCGTATGTATTGAAATATACAGAAATATGTTTAAAAAGCCAAACTTTCTGTTTTATTTGACAGGGCTTTTCCCTGACGTGGGAGGTGGTTATTTTCTACCGAGGCTCCAGGGCAGATTGGGTCTGTTTCTGGCTTTGACGGGTTTCCGCCTCAAGGGACGTGACGTGCACAGAGCTGGAGTGGCCACTCACTTTGTTGAGTCTAAGAAGGTAAAGAAGCTCAACTTCAGCTTTATTCCAATAGCACACAAGACAAAAATATTGTCATTATTATTATCACTACCATCACCAGTAACAGACTTTTGAAAAGTTCTATTGAGCGGGAGAATCAGATGATGGGAGGTAGAGAGTTCCAGACTTCTGGGGCATTGAAGGAGAAGGCCCTGTCCTCATTACACTTTGTTCTTGATCTTGGGGCAGTGTTTGGGGACAGGAGACAAAACAGAGGGAAACGTAGACAGGAAACAAACATAGGAATTTTCAAATCTATCCTGGAGCTAACAGGCCACCAAGAAGCCCAAGTTAGTCGATCGACTCCCCATTGATTGTTGACATACCCAAACAAAATATTGCATCCAATACATTTCACTGTTTATTATCTAGACGTGCCAGCAGCTCCTGCCCAGTCGGAGTGTGAGTGATGCTGCAGGGAGGTGAAAGGTTAAAGTAGAAGCTCTGCACTGGAAATCTGTGTGCTGAGTCACTGGGTGTGTCACTCTTGTTTAGAAGTGCCAACACACACGCACAGACAGGCTGGTCCAGAGGCAGGTTGTGTTTCTCTGGCTTTTGGCATGACGTCAAAACTGTGGGTGGCCGAGTTTTTTAAGACTGTAACCTTGAATTTCAGGATGTACCAGCAGTGGGTGGGATCTACTTTATTTAGACAGTTTTTGCAGCAAAGTTTGACCAAAAACAAGGTTAAAACTTCTCAGTTCAGATTAATAGTAACAAGCTAATTCTTTCACAGAAATAGAGTAACTAAAGCAGAGTAATTTTACTTTTTAAAAGTGTGTTTTGAGTGAAAGCTCCTGCATCCAACCAAACCTGGGGTTATTTCTTTAAATGATAAACAGAATCCATTTTAAAGTCTCATTGGATCAACAGACAGCCACAGTATGAAATCATTTTTGTGGCTCCTGTGCGTCTCATGCCTTCAATCTCGCTCCACTAGATCCCAGAGCTGGAGAAGGAGCTGGTGGACTTGAAGTCTCCCTCTCCTGAAGACATTACCCGAGTGCTAGACACCTACCAGAACCAGGTCAGAGTCTTAACACTTTATAACCTTGTGACTGAGGTTGAATTGAAAATAACCAGAACCACTGAAATAAGCCACACATTTCCCCTAAGAGCCAATGTCTCTGCTGAAAAGAATCATTTTCTCTTTCTCCACAGAGTAGTCTGGATTCTGAGAAGCCTTTTGTTTTGTACAAACACATGTCTGATATTGACAGGTAGGCCTCTCAAAACAAGGTGATATATGTTTATTAATGTAAACCAGATATCAACATATGCCACGACAAGACCAAAACCTACTGTGTAACTCCTTCTCAATCGTTCAAACCAAAGTCCATTCATCCCAAGATTAATTGATTTCCCACGGAGAATCTGTCACAGACATTCTCTTGGATTCAAGGATGACCTGATAAGAGTTTGCTAGCCAAAGGTCAAGGTCACAACAGCCTCACAAAGTATGTTTATGCTTTTCTTGAAGGTAATATCTTAAGATCAGCTAGAGGGAATTACATTTCATATAAACACTGTGACTGGTTTTGGCCTCTTGAATGTGATATCTCTTCAGGGAATTTCTTCAACTTTTAATCACTTGTCACCCACAAATAATTTTGCCGATCACTTGAATTGTGCTTTCAAGCTGGATTTAATCAAAAACACTGTACCCAGGTAGCTGGTGAAAGTTTGGCAGATAGACCTTTACAGTGAGGTAACCTGCTGAAAATCTGAATCCATGTTGGTCTGTGTCTCCCTATAGGCTGTTCAGCTCCGGCAGTGTGGAGGGAATAATGCAGAATCTGAAGGCAGATGGGTCTGAGTTTGCTAAGAAACAGGCTGAGGTATGTTCCTGACCTGCAGCTTCATCTTAATGACTCACATCAATTCTTTTTTCTCCAGGTAGAATAGTGTAAATGTATAATAAGGTTCTGTCACCAGCCGTCCTATACTCACTTAGGGGTTATATTCTATACAGACTATTGGATAAAGAACTGCTGCACCTCTTCACACCTCTCTGTAGCTGACAACTGACAATGCTGGGATGTAGCCAGGGCACTAATTGGGATTGAGGAGTATATATTCGTAATTAGTAGTTTCCTCGGGCTAAGCACTTAATGGGGTTAGTCTTAGTCTTGTGCGTTGTTGGCTGGAACAGAATCCCTCCTGACAGATTTCCGCTCTGGCCTCATTCCAAAAATGTGCCTTAATGAAACTCGAATTGACTTTTTCAACAGAGGGCTCTCCTCCATCCGATTCACTCTTCACGTCATTCACAGCAGGATCAGTTCCAGTGAGATCAACCCTTTGCACAACCAGGGAACAACCGTATGAGAACAGTGCATGGCTCTGCTAAGGCCCCTCCCTGAACCTACCCCACCCCTCTTTTTATTGTTTCATGTCTGATCACTCAGAGGTCACTCCGGGATTTCAAAGCTGTTAATAGGATCCTCTGATGACTGATAATTGTTTAATATTTCATTTATAACATTTGAAGAATATTGAGATTTAATAATGCAGCAAATAGTCCGTTTCCAGGATCCTCTCAAACCGTGAAGATCTGAATTGAAGCCAAATAGGATCAGCTCAGCCATCAAATATTTATTATCAACCGACTGCTACGACACCACAGACTCACAGTCCTGCCCTCAGTATTAACGATGCAGAACCATGTCTGTGCTTATGATTTTTCTGTGAAGGCAAATTCAGCAGTCCATCAGTTTTTCTGTTCAAAGTCTCAGTCACTTAAACACGTCTCCTCCTCCAGACTATGTCCAAGATGTCTCCCACTTCCCTGAAGATCACCTACAAGCAGCTGCAGGAGGGCGCCACTCTGAGCCTGCAGGACGTGTTGGTGATGGAGTATAGGCTGGGCCAGGCCTGCATGGTAAACACAACTTACTCCAACCGGAGCGTCAGTCTGTAAACATACAATCAGTCCATTTACTTGTAGACAACATTGAGAGTGGGAGAATGGATTTCATTCATCTTGTAAAGTAGAATGCCAGTGTTACTTATCTAAGTCATCCAAGGCTGCTGTTTGACGCAAGATTTGACTTGACATATAAAAGTATAATCATATAATGGACTTGTCTGTTGTTTGCAGAGGGGCAGTGACTTCTATGAGGGTGTCAGAGCTGGTAAGTGCACAACCAAAGAGGAATAAGAATTTGAGTGAATTTGAGTGAAGCAACACAACTTACTAAGTTTTCTATAGAAAACAATAAAGAACTAAAGAACAACAATCAATACATGATAGTCTTGTTGTAAAGAAACAACCATAATACACAGAAACTATGTTTTACTGCCAAAGAAGTGTAAAGAGATTGATGTAGATGATTGATCACTAGATGTTTGGTTTGGTCCAGTAAAGGTAAAGAAAGGCCAAAGATAAGTTATCGCTCCTCTTAGTTCAAGTTAAGGGAACTTTCACACTGACCTTGTTTGATCTGGACCTTCAGACTGTTCAGTTTAGTGCAAACCAAAGTAACAGGAGTGAAAGGTTCTTCAGACCACTGTCCGGACCAATGGGACAAAATTTCGTCCACAAGAGGTGGTTTGGTTCGTTTGCAGTCTGAAAGTCCTTTCAGACCAATTGCAGGAAGTTGAGACAACATTAAAAGGAGGCAGAAGCCTGTCTGGTCTCTCCAGGAGAGTTACTTGTGGAGTTGCTTGTGGTCACCTCTGCTCTCGTAATGTTTGAATGACAAACATTCATTTGGCACATTCAAACTAGTGTAGAGTACTGCACCTGAAGCTGGGGAGGCTGGTAGTAATATCATAATGATATTTGTGGTAATGAAAGCAACAAAATGAACCTGTTCATACATTTTCCCCATTCAGTAATATTTCCATATTACACTCCAGACATGTGCCCGTCTACAAACCAATCAATGTCAAGCATAGGTAGATGCCGCCGACATGGGTGATGATGACAAGACGTACATATGTCATACAAAATTCTTTTGTTACTAGGTGAAACCAAAACTAACTGGATCAAATGTAAACAATATAACAAACTGAACTTTGAGGTGTGAAAACACCCTTGGTCTCATCATCTGTTTCTCTGTGTCGTGATGTCCTGCGTGTGTCCAGTGCTCGTCGACAAGGACCAGAATCCCAAATGGAACCCGTCGACGCTGGAGCAGGTGTCTGACCAGAGCGTAGAGCAGTGCTTCTCCTCACTGGGAGAGAAGGATCTGACTTTCTGATGGCCCGTCAGCCAGCAGCTGTTTCCCACCTCCACACACACACACACACACAC